TCCACGCGGTTTTTACTCGTTTCACACGTTCTCTACTCGTTTCACACGTTTGCTACTCATTTCACACGTTCTCTACTCGTTTCACACATTCTCCACTCGTTTCACGAGTGGCCCACACGTTCGACTAGTGGGCAGGTCGTTAAACGAGTTTAATCAGTGTTTTACTAGTTTAACATGTTTAACGAGTGTTACTCGTTTTCGTTGCATCCCCACAAACCACCTGTGGCAACACTGATTAAATGTGTTTAATGAGTGTTACACGTTTTGGTTGCATCCCCTTAAACACATTAAACTCATTTAACTATGGGGATGGCTTGTTTTTTGCGGACATTGTGATCTCCCATGGACATCATGACCTCCTGTGGACATTGCGATTATCTGTGGACATTGTGATCATCTGTGGATAATCGCGACCTCCCCGCGGTGAAGAGTAGGCGGTCTGCAGGAGATCGCGATTATCTGTGGACATTGCAATTATCTGCGGACATTGCGATCTCCTGTGGACATTGCGATTATCCACAGACATCATGGCTGGCGACTCATCCCCCTCAACATCACCTACATGTTGGAAAACATCAACTCTACCTCGACATGTGCTCTCCACTCTCTTATCTTATCTTATTTCCCAAACAGTTATCACTTTATTTCTTGAACTATTCCTTTCCTCACCTTGGAAACTACTCAAATATGTTAGTTCTTGAACAATAAATTACTTTTAGAAATCTACTTCTTCAGCAACACATCAACCAACTCCAACACTATACGATCACACCTTTTAAAAGGCCACCTGTGGTCAGCTACAGCTAGGTTTATTCAAGTCCTCCCACTTTTGAAAAAAAAAAAAACTGAGCACGCAAACCGCGTTTTGCGCTCGGAACCCGTGTTTTTGGTGCGCCAGCAGGGGAACCGCGTTTTGGGTGTAGTGAATGATTTATTGGGTTTGAAACAGCACACAGCACTGGTGGGGGACGCAGTGCCACTGCACCGAGTGGCATGCCACTATCAGATGTGGCGATCAGATCGAAATCTAGAAAGATTAATCTTTAGATTAGATAAGATTAGCTTGGATTTAGTAGTGGAGGCAGGCGTGGAAAAGAGCGCTGGTGTGGTGGTGCAGTGGGGCGTACCTGCGCTCAAGCTCTTAAGAGCTCTTAAGAGCTGCTGGTGGGGGGGGGGGCAAACTAAATCAAAGAAGAA